AAAGGACTATTACACCATTCCACACACCGATACTCCCATAGACACATAAACAAATGGTTTATCGGTAGGGTATACCAATACTCTCCAAAGTATCCATGTGTCCATCACGAATAACAATTATTCATAGTAGTGAGACATACTATATTCTCAAAGAATGTGATGCAGACCACATGTCAATCTATCACGTATCATTAATATCCCTTTTCTTAATGATCATCGATTGAGGTAATTTAAGAGTTATACTCTATCAATTAACATCTCACTCTGTTAATGACAGTATTAACTCAAGGGAGCCATTAATCAATAAATTACAAACAATCAAAAGAATTCATCAATTAATGCAAAACCATGAATATCATCAAATATAATATGAATGTGATCAAGTACATTTGTCCCAAAATTGATTGTCTCTAGGACACATATACTAACACCCTTTTCAGTTGATTTTCTTGTAGATGATATGAAGCACCCTCACCCCCACCCCCGTGTATGCAACACGAACTCAACCCAAAGCACCACCATACAATTTAAAGTCATCAAAGACCTAAGATATCTATATCTATATCTATATAAAAAGAATTACCATTTACTAAATATAGTAGCAAAAAAGTCAATGAGCATTTAATGCATACTTTATTTGGAAATTTTTAAATATATGCATTAATTGCTTTAATATCTACACATTTCCAAGTCATATATGATCAAAAAGATTCTTTCCTTGAATAATTTTATTATCATATGCAATAATTTTGTTGATATTCATTATAATAAACTATAATTTGATTTTTCATAATTGGTGTTGATAATATTTTTGTCAACATAACCATGAAAACAAATTTTAAGTCTTAACCATAATATTAATTTTTTTTTTCAAAAATGTTGAATTTCATCCTAAAATATTTATAAACAATCGTAACATGTTAAATAATTCTCCCTCTAACTAATTAGCCGAAATCCAGTTGGTGAATAATAATTTTCGATAATATTTTTTAACCTTTATTTAATTATATAAACAAATAATTTCTTTAAACTAAAATAAATTACATTTAAGAGATAATAATCACATCATTAAATAATTTATTAACGGCTAAATAATAAAATTAAAATATATTAACTATTCTGTACAGTTTCAATATTTGATTTATTTGTATATTATTGTCAACCACGATAATTTTATCATTTTTTATTTTTATTTGTTTCCATAATGAATTTATTGTAAAATATATATTTATATTGCATAGTATGTTAAATAAACTAATAAACCTTAGGATGCAAATTAGAAAAATCTCTTGATTATATAAGGGTTTATTATTTGACAATTTGCTAAATCAAATTTTTTTAATTATTATGAGAAATTTTAAAAAACATGTGTGTGTATTTTATAAACATTTATACACAAAATTTTATTTTAAACTTCATTACATAAACTAAGAAGAAGTAGACAACTATTATAACCTTTATAAATAATAATAATGACATTATATGACAACAAATATTATAATAAAATATTAATTGAGTATTAAATGGTGAACAAGAATAAGAATAATTTTTTTTATATCGATGAATAAATATATATTGTAAAATTAAATTTATATTAATATAACGTGTAAGCAGAATGATATATTAATTAATATATCAACGTTATGACTAAAATAAATATCACTGATTGAAAGAAGTGAAAAACTGATAATGCAACCCTATTATTTTTTGCCAAAATGTACAAGCCCTATAGAAATTACTCATTTAATATATGTGTCCCGTGCATCGCACGGGCTATGCACTAGTTAAAGAAGAACCATAGCAACAAATATTAAAAATAGTGAAGAGATGAGTAGAAATGCGACAACTCCACCCTAAAATCATATGATACCTGAATGGCCAGTTCCCTAGTGGGTAAAAGCACAAGAACACTAGGTGGCCTCCCATATCCGGTCCTCCGTGATGCATTAGCGGGCCCATTTATTAATGATTCCAATATGGGTAACACAAAAGCCAGTGTTTTACCCTGAAATATACCCAAAAGATCAAATAAAAACAAATATATAATAAATGAAGAGAAAAAAGGACATTAGAGGCTAGGAAATTACAAAATCCAATGGTTTTGACAGGACTAATCGCCAATGGGGCTACTAAAAACAAATAAAAAGAAAATGGGAAGATCCTAACCTGACCAGTGCGTGCCCTTCCAACCAAATCAGAACCATCAAGTATCAAATCAAATGTCATGGCCTGAATCGGAAACAGAGATTCAATTCGCTTCGCCTTAAGAGCATCCCTCAGCGGCTTTGAGATGCGGAAATTCGAAACTGCATTCGGATTCTCCTCTTTCTCATCCACTACTCCATTTTCCTCCAGCTTCATTGTCTTCTTTTTCTTTTTTTTTTCTTACTGTTGTGTATCATCTCAAGATCATAAATATAACTGAGAGAAAAACAAGTTTCTATTACTCACAAGAATAAAAACAAGAGATTTACAAACTCTAAACAAAAAACTCTCAAACTCTCCACAACTCTACTTGGTTGTTCTCAAGGTTGATTGATCACACTCTTGGATGATTCAAATGAATGAAATGAGCAACCTATTTATAGATACAATTAAGCACACCCAAATTAAAAAATGTGTGTGAAAAGAGATGGTAGGTGGATGATGCCATTGAAGACTTCTTCATTTGTATGCTACAACTTTCTTCATTGGTATGCTTGAATGTTTGGTGGAGCAACTTGGTGCATGGAACTTTCAATTCTCCCATTTCCATGCAAGTTATGAACAAACATTCCTACTATGTCTCTGCATAGTTTAAGCTTGTCCAGTGTAACCACTTTTGTTAACATATCTGATGGGTTCTCCTTCGTATTGATCTTCACTAGTTTCAACAGCTGTTGATCAATCTTCTCGCGTATCCAGTGATACCGAACATCAATATGCTTTGTGCGGGCATAGTACATAGAGTTCTTGCTTAAGCCAATAGCACTTTGACTATCACAATATACCTTGTACTCTTTCTGCTTGATCCCAAGTTCACGGAGATAGCGCTTTAACCACAACATTTCTTTACCAGCTTCAGCGGCAGCAATATATTCAGCTTCTGTTGTGGATAAAGCAACACACTTCTGCAATCTTAATTGCCAAGAAATGGCTCCCCCTGCAAAAGTGTAGACATAACCCGAAGTAGACTTTTGACAATCAATATCTCCGGCCATATCAGCATCAGTATATCCTTCCAAGATTGGATCAGCTCCCTCGTAACAAAGACATAACTTAGAAGTACCCTTCAAGTATCTGAGAATCCATTTGACTGCCTCTCAATGCTCCTTCCCGGGGTTAGAAAGAAAACGACTCACTACACCCACTGCATGAGCAATATCTGGCCTGGTACATACCATTGCATACATCAAACTTCCAACTGCTGAAGAGTATGGCACTGCAGACATCTCCCCCACCTCTTCCTCGGATGTGGGACATGATCTTTTGCTTAACTTGAAATGATTCGCAAGTGGAATACCCACTGGTTTGGCATCACTCATATTGAATCTTTCAAGTACTCGTTCAATGTACTTCTCTTGAGATAGCCATAACTTGCCGTTCTCTCGGTCTCGAGTAATCTGCATCCCAAGAATCTGTTGAGCCTTTCCTAAATCTTTCATATCAAAAGACTTAGAAAGTTCTTTCTTCAGCTGACTTATCTTCTTTGCATCATTCCCAACGATCAACATGTCGTCGACGTACAATAGAAGAACTATGAAAGCCCCGTTTGAGTATCTCTTGATGTAAACACACTCATCTGCAACAGTCTTCTTGTAACCTTGACTCTGCATGCATGAGTCAAACTTCTTATTCCACTGCCTTGGTGCTTGCTTCAGACCATACAAGCTTTTAGATAGCTTGCACACGAGGTTCTCACTTGAAACCTCAAAACCTTCTGGCTGTTGCATATAGATTTCTTCTTTCAAATCTCCGTGACGAAAAGCTGTCTTCACATCCATCTGTTCAAGCTCCAAATTCATACTTGCTGCCAAGCCAAGTATGACTCGAATTGAGGTCATCTTGACAACTGGTGCAAAGATCTCGTCAAAATCAATCCCTTTCTTCTGCTGAAAGGCTTTGACAACCAATCGAGCTTTGTGTTTCACCACTTGTCCATTTGCATCTTTCTTCAGCTTGAACACCCATTTGTTTTTCAAAGCCTTTTTCCCTTCTGGAAGTTTAACAATCTCATAAGTTTGATTTTTCTGCAGAGAATCTAATTCTTCCTGCATCGCAATCATCCATTTTTCTTTATCCTTATGAGATATGGCTTCTTGAAAACTCTCTGGTTCTCCATCTTCTGTCAATAGAAGGTATTCAGATGATGAGTACCTTTTTGATGGTATATGACCTCGTTCAGATCTACGAGTGGGTAGAACCATCTGAGAAGAACTTCCAACGTTGGTGTCTGGCAAAATGGGTTGTGGCTCCCCTTGCTCTGGCAAGATGGATTGTTGCTCCCCTTGCTCTGTCAAGATGGGTTGTTGCTCCCCTTGCTCTGCACTCTCTTCTGTCTCCTCGTCTCCTTCTGGTACATCATCTTCATTGTTTCTCCAGAACAATTCTGGTGCTTCATCTGAAACTTGAGCACCGACATTTGACTTCTGAGACATCTTGGGCTTTTCTATGTCTTCTATTGTCAAATTCTCTTGGAACACAACGTCCCTACTTCTGATCACCTTTTTCTCCTTTGGATCCCAAAATCTGTATCCAAACTCTTCATCTCCATAACCAATGAAAATGCATGGGATGGACCTCGCATCGAGCTTCTTTCTGAGCTCTTTGGATACATGTGCATATGCTACACAACCAAATACTCTGAGATGTGAGTATGTCGGATCCTTACCAGTCCATATTCTCTCTGGAACTTCAAAATTTAATGGAACTGAAGGTGATCGGTTGATTAGATAACATGCGGTCTTGACAGCTTCTCCCCAAAATGGCTTTGGTAATTTAGCCATATTCATCATGCTTCGGACACGCTCCATGATAGTCCGATTCATTCTTTCAGCAACGCCGTTGTGTTGAGGGGTACGTGGAACTGACTTCTCATGTCGAATGCCATATGTATGACAATATGCATTGAACTCCTTGGAAGTATACTCGCCTCCATTATCAGATCGGAGACATTTCAGCTTCTTTCCTGTTTCACGTTCCACCATGACGTGAAATGACTTGAAGTACTCGAACACCTGGTCCTTCGTATTCAGGAAATATACCCACACCTTTCGAGAAGCATCATCAATGAAAGTAAGAAAATATCTGCTTCCACCCCATGATTCAACCTCCATGGGGCCGCAAACATCAGAGTGTACCAAGCTTAACAACTCTGATCTCTTTGTTGAATTTGCATTGAATGAGACTCTGTGCTGCTTGCCGAACAGGCAATGACTGCAAGAATCCAATGCAGCACTCTTATCAACCTTGATAAGATTCTTCTTCATTAGGGTAGTCAACCCTTTCTCACTCATATGGCCAAGTCTCTGGTGCCATAGATCCTGGGAAGCCTCCTCTGCAACATTGAGACTTTCTGTACTGATCTTCAAATGTGTTTTGTACAGCGTCCCACAAACATGTCCTCGGGCAATTTTCAGAACACCCTTTGACAACTACCATGTGCCTGCACCAAAGTGATTATCATATCCTTCTTTGTCAAGAGCCACCACTGACAAAAGATTCAGTCTAAGATCCGGCACATGTCTAACATCCTTCAATAGGATTGTACTCCCGGTTCCTGTCGTCGCCTGGATATCACCAATTCCGGCAATATTAGAGGAACTGGAATTTCCCATTTTCACCGATCCAAAGTCTCCAGCTTGGTATGTTGTGAAGTATTTCCTGTTGGGAGTAACGTGATAGGATGCTGCAGTATCTACCACCCATTCCATGTCTTCTCGTGAGACATGAAGGCATGTCTCACCATGGGTAGAGCAATATGCTACCTCCCCTGAGACAGTGATAGGGTTTCACCACCCTTGCCTTTGTTCTTCTGCTGAGAACTGTTCTTCGGCTGAGAATTGCTTTTGCCTTGCTCCTCGAGCCATTTATAGCAATTCTTCTTCATATGACCTTCTAGACCACAATGATAGCACACATGTGATCACCGATCATCTGATTGCCTCCCCTTGCTTCTACCCCTGCTCTTTCCTCTACCGCTTCTTTGTTGCTTGCCGTGTGGTCTTCCTCGATTCTCCATTACAAGGGCATGGGTCTGATCTGTGCCCATGTCTTTCCTTCTTGCCTCTTCATTGAATAAGGCATCCTTCACAACGGACATGGAAAGTTTGCCGTTTGAGGCTGAATTGTTGAGAGTAACAACGAGTGTTTCCCAGCTATCAGGAAGGGAACTAAGAAGTAGCAGAGATTGCATTTCATCTCCAAGCGGCATCTCCACACAAGATAGCTGATTTACCAGGCTATGGAACTCACTGGTATGCTCGGCAACAGAAGTTCCACTTTTCAACTTCAGATTGACTAAGCGCCTCATCAATAAGGCCTTATTCCGAGCGGTCTTGGCCTGGTACATGTCCTCCAGCTTCCTCCAAAGGACATATGCGTCGGTTTCTTGTGCAACATGATGGAAGACACTATGGTCTATCCATTGTCGGATTTGACCAATAGTTTTTCTATTGATTTTCTTCCATTCTAACGCCTTGGACGGATCAGGGTTAATACCCTCCAGCTCTATTGGGTCAAAGTGCTCTTTACAGCTGAGAAAATCTTTCCATCCGAGGTTTCCACAGCGTGTAATTGGTAGCCATGAGCATAATCATAGCTCCAGAAGATGAAGTTGACTCTTCCATTGCCATTTTACACCTTCAATTATCTGTTAGGGACAAATCGGAGCTGTATTTCGAAAAATAGACAGCACCGTTGCGTCCGGAACAATCGAAAATGGGGGGCGNCAATGACGTGTCAGATGATGTGGCGACACGTCATCATCTTCTTCCTTAAGATTTTTTTTTTTTTTTAAACTTCAGAAGGCTATAACTTTCAGCTCCGGTGTCCGTTTTTCACCCATAAGATACCGTTGCGACCGTCTCGACGAGACGAATCTAACGGTGTCCTCGGAATCGAATTTCGAGCACAACTCAAAAACTCGAAATTTCTGTGGAAGCTCGAAAAATTCGAAATTTAAGCTCGAAAGCTTCAGACCAAGCTCTGATACCACTTGTTGTGGTATCATCCCAAGATCATAAATATAATTGAGAGAAAAACAAGTTTCTATTACTCACAAGAATAAAAACAAGAGATTTACAAACTCTAAACAAAAAACTCTCAAACTCTCCACAACTCTACTTGGTTGTGTTTCAACACTCTCAAGGTTGATTGATCAC